TGCAGTACTCTTCGGTGATCTCGGTTCGCCCCATGGCCATGTTGACTTCGGCACCGAGTGACCACAGATCCAGTAAAATGGCAAGCTGTTCGGCATCCAGATGCGACGGTGGCGGCAGACTCGCCAGAGCCGTTTCCACATAGGACGATGCACTGGAAAAGGCCGCCAACCGCTTGGCTTTTCCAGCCGCCCGTAGATTCAACTTGGCAATCTCCAGCGGTGACACGGAATCATATCTCAGACGACCGGCATTCAACAGGTTGACCACCACAAAGAGTTTCTCGTCCAGTTCGGATTCATTGGATTGCCGCAGCAGGACGGTCCCCGCTTCGTATCGGATCTGTTGCATAATGATAATGGGGTGGAGTATCAGTGCTGCTTCTTGCACTTTGTCGTGCACAAAACTGTAGTTCTTGTTGCCACAATTTTCAATATACCGTTCCTTTTCACATTGTTTGAGTGCCTGTACAAGTTCGTCATCCGATTCCGGTGCCATCACCAGAGGTGTCAGTGCTTCCACTTGCGCGAGTCCGGTGAGTATCATACGGAGCGTGTCCCGATGAAACCTGGCACCCAAACAAGCCGCCACGGGTAGAATCTTGGGTGCGACTTTGGATTGTTGTAACTTGTCGCGCATAAAATCGAGGAGTGTGGTGGTAACGGCCGACTCTTTTCGAATGGCCGGTTCGTCCCAATCCCAACTCTTTTTAATGATATCAAACCACAAGAGGTAGTTGCGCGTGAGGAATACGAGATATTGCGTGACAAAAAAGATATTTCCTTTTGTTTTGGTATAGACAATGTGTGCCAGTGCTCGTGTTTCATCTTCGGACAGGTTGAGCACATTGGAGATGAATGTATTGATGGTGTCCAGATTCATTTCGGCCAGTCCTAGTGTGGTGACGTGATGGTGATGTGTATTTGGATTGTTGTTGTTGTTGTTGTTGTTGTTGTTGGACTGTTGTTTCGGTGACTGTTCTTGTTGTTTTTGTTGTTCCTGCTGTGCCTCTTGAACGCCATGTAGCCACTTGGAAAAGCGATGTTCCTCATCGACTTCATCGGATCTATAGGTTCCAACAAACATGACATGCTTCAGTTTGCTAGTGAATAGATAATGTAGCAATTCCAGAGAGGCATTGTCTGCTCTGTGCAAGTCTTCCAATACCAAGACCACACTTCTGACTTTGGTGGCCAAGGCTTGAATGAAGTTGCGAAAGACGTAATGAAAGCGAATGACTTCTCCACTGGTTTCTCCTGCTGCTTGTTGTTCTCCAATGATTTTGGACAAGCTGGGTATCATATAAGTGAGTAGAGCCCCCTGTTGGCCCACTGCCTCTAGAATATCAGCCTTGACTTCCTCTATTGTCTCTGGTTCCTCCTCTTCCAGTTCTCGACAAAAGTGTGAAAAGGCATCGACAATGGCTGCAAAGGGATGAAGGTTATCGGGTGCTGTTTCCGAGCAATTGCTGTTGGTACTGTTGGTGCTGCTCAGCACGCCACTGCCACTTCGTTCTTCTTCCACACAAGTATCCTCCGCTATCATCATGGCATGACTTTGTTGTTGTTCTTCAAATTTTCCAGATACCCAAAAGAACTCTTCTTCGGTCGTTCCCAAATGATCGCGGAGACGGGCGACCAAGGCCGATTTGCCCGTACCACTGGCACCACTGACCAAGACCAAGCTGGGACTATTGGAGCGACCCGCCGCTGTGCGACGAAAGATGCCTTCCAGTTTCAGAATTTCATCTTCGCGGCCACAAAACACATTGCGAAAGACCAAGGGTTTGCTGGTACGGCGTAATAACTCGTCATCCATCTTTTGTTCATAGTCGTCGACGGATGTCAGACTGTGGCGAAAATCACTAGTATTACTACTCGTACTCGTTTCGGTGATACAACTGGCGGTGGCACTGCTGCTTCTCATGGACATCGATAAGGATGACTTGGTGGTGGTGGTGGCCATTTCAACAAACCACAACAGCAAAAGCAAAGGGTAGCTTCCTCACTATATATGACAGTGTCAGGAGAAAGCTTGGAGATGGGAAAGCTAGCTAGGGACAATAATACCAGCCAAAGTTTGGGAGACCCGGCACTGCGAGAGAAGGCAGGTAAACCAAGAAGTGATGGAAGATAGACTACTAGCTAGCCAGCTAGCACACAAGGTCTCTTTGCTGCCACTTCCACTGGTACCAGTATTGCTTGGAATGAGGATGATTTCATGATTTCTGCCTCCGACTAACTCCCAAGACCCAAGACCGCACCACCGCGTCGTTGTGCAGGGTTTGTAAGCAGTCTTCCATCCGCTGTTAGTTTTGAAAGACAATCTAATAGGAAATGCTGCCGAGAACCATACATACACTAACTGGTACAGAAGCTGGTACGGTACAGCTCTGGTACCACTCCAGCTTACTTATCAGTACGAACGTACCACTAGTCTACTAGCTAGTATGAGTATTATTAATAAACCAGCTGTACTTTGTCTTGTTTATTCTTTAGGTTTTTCAATGCCTCCTGCAGACATGGTTCATGTGTTAACCATTGACCATCATAAGTCTTTCAGATGACTTTCTCTACTCAGCTTACCATTGCCGTGACCAGTGGCGGTGAGTGAATAGTGTTGACGTGTGCTCAGTGCTCAGGTGCTCAGTGCTCACAGTGCTCAGACACAACCGCTTGACACTCATGATCAGTTATCATAGTGCTTACTGCTCAGCACGGACCACGGTGCAGTACACAGTACAGTATGGTAGACACAAGCCCGAACTGCCCTGCGGACATCAGATCTTCAGATCTTCTGATCCTTGATCCTTGTACCGCTATTCTGGTAGTACCGGTACGTATGATAGTGCACTCACGCACCGCGATAACCTACGAGTACATTGAAGGTGGGACCAGCACAGGTCTCAGTAGTATCGTATCGTACCCATGGACCATGCTAGCTAGCTCAAGGGAGACACAAACCAAACGTACCGTAGTCGACTCAATAGATTGTTGGAGCCAAGCCAGATAGCCAGTTACAATACCCAGAGAGCAGTTGCACGGAACTCACTTGAGGCAGCTGAAGCTAAAACTAACTGTGCCCCAAACAAATCATACCTTCAAGTAGATTTTGAAGACAGATCGCTTCTGCAAACATGCTTGTCCGCTTGTAATCATATCCAAGATATCACCTTGAAGCAATCAAAGTAATTATTGGGCGGCAGCTTTCATTTTTAAGAACGGAATTACTATGAAATTCTTGGTTAGATGGGACAGCTATGTATGTATGTGTGGGAATGGGAGCCAGGTCGTGGGCAGCCAGCAGTGCACTGCAGGGGCTGGAGACAGCCAGCAGCCAAGATTGAGCAGACCCACGGAGGGAAGGACTACAAGGAAGGAGGCCAGGGAAAGGGGGACAATTGATGAGAGGGCAAAGACTTGCAATAAAGATCTAGAGCGCCAATATCATAGTACTGGCAGCCAAACAGTCACACCATCACTGTGTGGGAAGGGAAAGAAGGATCTGAAATCTACTAGCTAGCTAGGGCTAAGCGACCGAGAAGCAAGGACCCACAGAAAGAAGCTGATTTTAAGCCTGTGGAGCGGGTATTTTCAGATCGCGGGTGAAAGAAAGCAACCCAAGGAAAGCGACACAACCAAAGCCCAACAAACACAACACGGCGAAATCAATAAGGCGGTGCACAACCACATAGAGACTTCCACCATGAACTCCATTGACAAAGAAGTACCCCTTGACAAGGTTCTATCAAGCTTTCTGACCGATTAGGGACTACAGGATGTAACATTGGTGGCAAGTGATGGCCAAAAAGTGCGAGCCAACCGGTACATTTTGGCCGCCAGATCTTCTGTCTTTCGCCGCATGTTTCTCGGCAATTTCTCAGAGGCCACCAAGCCACAGGTAGATGTTGGCTTCAGTGGAAGCATCATGCATGAGATTGTGGAGTATGTTCATACAGATACTTGTACCAGTCTCAATGGGAAGAAGCGGAAGGCCTGTGATGAGAACAAGGCAAAGCAGTGGGATGCTCAAAAGGAGCTGGCTGAAAAAGTGGTGGGTCTCTCAGCTGCTGCAATGCACTACAATTTACCTAATCTTGTCAAGAAAATCAAGCAAACCCTCTTGAACTTGATGCAAAACACCCCATCTTTGTTTTTGATGGTCTTGGCCACTTGCCACAAGGAAGGACCCTCTGTTCCATCAGCATTGCTTGAGATTGCTTGGTCATTTGTTCGGACTAACAAAACAACCCTTACGGATTCAAAGGCAATTGCATGTGTGGATGCAACTCTAGTGGAGGAGATCCTGAAAGATGAAAAATTGGAAATGGATGAGTACACTCTATTTGTTTTCCTGACACAATGGGTTGACAGTAATCCAAACGAGCGTCAAGCCATTGCCAAAAACCTGGGAAGCAATCTTGGGCTCGAAAAGATAAATCCCGCCTATCTTTCAACTTCAGTTGTGTCGTCTGGATTGTTCATGCCTGACCAAATCAATGAAGCCTCCAAAATCAAGCTCTGCATGCTGAACAAACCCACAAAGTCACATTTCAACATGACCGATTCTTCCTTGGATGGAAAAAATCTCTCACTGCAGAGACTGGTGATGATGGGTCTGATGATGAGTCTGATGATGTCAACACAGACATGCTCACTTGTCTTCCAATCAAAGAGGGAATCCATGAATGGACTGTGAAACTATTGGACGACAATGACGGTGGTGGGGCAAGTGCTGTTATTGGCATCGTCTGCGACGAAACATTTGTGGACAATGGATCTCTGCTGTATACACAAAAGGGTGGGTGGGGATACGATGACTTTGGTAATGCATACAGTGAGGGCAAACCAGTTAATCCTAACAGATTGAGTACTATCGGTCTGGGCACAGACGTCAAGCTGACACTCAACTTGAGTCCCCGTAATGGGCAACCTTGAACATCCAGCTTCCTGATTTTGGAAAAGATGATTTTTCTTATGATATTGTCAACAACCTACATGATCATCTGAAATTGCACCCTCGAGGGTTTCTTCCCGCAGTATCAACCTGCTCTGGTGGCAAGGTCAAATTTGTGAAGATGAAGAAGCTCCCGGAAGTCTAGCTGGTGCTGAAATGCAGATCAGATCTGTTCCATGGTACCCTAAATCTATTCATGTGAAAAGGATGGGGTCTCATGTCGACAAATGCAAGCAATCAAATCCACAACATAATCAGCGGAGGAAATCAATTTGTAAAGGTCAAAGTTTTTCGTCGCTTGGCAAAAGAAGACGGAAGCTAACTGTTCCGTTACTGTAGCACAAGTCAATCTCGCAAACTCCAATGTATCTACCCCTTTTAAAGTCAACAGTGTTGCATGGGCGACCGAACATAGTAAGCAAATATGTTACAAATAGCCATGAAGCCTTCCCACGTCTCCCCGATGCCATGGTAGCTTCAAGTCGCCAGAGAAATTGCAACGGGCACGAAGCCAATAGTTTCCTCGCCGCAGCCACGGGAGTACGATGTAGTACGGAATCCTTCCATGTCGCCCACACCGGCAACACAAAGTTGACCCTCGCGTTCCCACCCACCATTCGTGCTCTGTGTATGTGGCCCAAGCGCCCAATCCAATCGCCAACTTGCTCAATGCACCACCACAAGAAGAAGCAAGCACATCCAAGAAAGGTAAATGTACGCATTATTCTATACAAATAATGCAGGTTTGCCTGCATTCAACCCACTCAAGTTCTGCACCTCGACCGTTCTAACTATTCTATCTGTGTTGTCCTGTGCCCTTGAGTGCTTGTATCGAACCAAGCAACATGCTAGTTTTTGCCCAATTCAGTCCTTTGCTCGAACGTTCGCGTCATCTCTAACTGCATCGAATCGAATCGAATCGAATCATTGCTTGCTTTCCTGATCCTTGGCAAATTTGGCAAGCGCATTGTTCAAAAATTCGTTGAACTCTCGTCGTGACAGCTCGGTGTCGATCTTGCTGTGTCGTAGTTTTTCATTCAATTCTGACTGCAATGAAACATCTCGGTCGAGGATTCGCTGTTGCAATATTGGTTTTCCTCTCCAAAAGGCGCGAAAGTCGTGATTCATGAGTAAAGCGAGGACACCGTAGCACCATACAAAGTCCGTGTCCCACCAGTATTCGACCACCCAACTGCCCTTGGGCATCCACAACATGTGGGACAATCCGTTCCCATGCACTCCAATCATCATGTTGCACGTGTGTGAAATTCGGAACTGTTCCAACGCCGGATATCGTTCCATGTGCAAGTGTCGAAAGGATACATCGGGATGATCCGTCAAGGTTTGTACCAACCACTCGTGTTCTTCATCGGGCATGCGTCTGGCATTGTTTTGTCGGTCAATGTAGCAGGCAACAAATTTGTTCTTGTCTTTTTCTTTCTGTTCCAAACTCGATGTCGTGTCTTTTAATCCTTGCGCAATATCTTTGCTCCATGCTTCGCTGGGAAAGTATCCTGGATTGGACAATTTGGCATGCATCACTCCCAATGCCATGTGATCGCACCGATGTCGATTGACAAAAATGACGGCATCGGCTTCCTCCGCCATGGTGCTCCAATTATTGCGTCGTTTGCTGTTTCTTGGAATTTGATATTGTCGCTTTTTTTCTCGCACCCATTCCAAAACACCATCGGGCATTTTTCCTGTATATTGTGGATGCATGGCTCGCGTTTTGTCGTCATTGTCTTCCAAGCCCTTGAGTTTGGTAGTGCCCAAAATGGAGGATTGCCAAAATGCCAAATCGGCAATCATTTGGTTGGTATCCTTGTCGCCCTTGAGTTCTTTTCGTGTAAAATGGGGTGCATGGACCCATGCCACTTGGACGGGACTTTCGGACAGACTCGTTTCATGACCAGCGGCTGGAGGCGCCACAGTGTTGGCCACCTGGTCCATTGCCGTGTAGGCGTATAATATGAATTCGAGATAATGGTACAAGTGCACATACCCATTCCCGTTGAGGCTCCAAAAATCATTGCTGTCTTCATACAGCGAAACTCCGACTCGTACGTTTCGTCCATTCTCCGCAAAGGGCTTTAACAGGTGCACATTGTCTTCAAAGTTTAATGTCTCTTCGACGCCCTTGATTCGCAAGCTCATGCAATGCGTCAAATTGAAGGGATGAGGAGGTTCCCAGGTTGTCGCTTTGAATCGTTTAGTCCTGTTATCCCCACCACGCAGCGTGGGTAACATGCTTTCATCGTTCCATTCTGGCAAGATCCGGTCGTTGGAGAAGGGAAGATGGAGTAAGGAAATGAAGCTACCCAACACCAGCATTATATATAAGCTGTGCTTGGACAGCATCTGCAACACTTGTTTCGTCGTAGAGGGCATGGTGTCTTCCGTTGTTACTATTACAACTGATAGATGGTTCTTGCAGATAATAATCAAGAGAATGGGATGTGATCTACGTGCACCCGACAACTCAACGGGCTCGGTCCCATGTTGAGTTTCCTCGCGGCCTGGCGGGGCTGCGGCTTCGCATACAGGAAGGAAACCATGCATTGAAGATGCCAATCCCTCCTAGCCCCCTCCATGACGCTGCCCCCCCCTTATACTGAGCCCCAATACCACCCTAAGAATTGAAGACCATCGCACAGCCCTCACTCAAGGTTGTATCAGTGCCAAAAAACGTCATCAAGATGCATACAAAGCGGCTTTCGAGACCCATCAAGCCACCCTCACTCTTGCTGATTTGGACTGTGCCTCTTACCGAAACAAAGATCACGTCAAAGTTTAACCCAACAAGAGCGCGACAAAATTTCCAAGTATAAAGAAGCATGCGACTCCAATCGTGCTTCCTTCCATCCCTTTGTTGTTTCTGTGGATGGCATGCTTGCCCCCCCAAGCCAAGATTCTCTTACAATGCCTTGCTTCTGCTACTGCCTCCAAAACTCAATTTTCCTATTCTCAAATGATGTTCTTCATGCAGACCCATATCTCAATTGCCCTTGTGAAAGCTACCCATTTATGTCTCGGTGGATTCCACAAAGCCAAACCCTTTGGCCCCTCTAATGGTGCTCAATTTCTTGCCCCTGATCCCACAGAAATTAGTCCTCGAATTTCGACTGTTCTTTGCTTTTTAAGCCTGGCCCCGGCTGGTTTCCGTAGGTAATTTCCCTACTCTAAACCCCCGTTTATTTCGTCTCCTGGAGACGATTTGCTTTAGGGGTAATGGTACCGATGGGGGCAGAGGTTTGAATTATACCCGGCGCGCATTACTTAGAAGGCCCTGTAGAAGTCTACGTATTCGACTAGTAATAGTATGTGATTGACGGGGATACCAGTCAACGCAGTACATGCCACATGAAAAGTCGCCCTATGCGTTTCTCTCACATTTGTGAGAGAGATTCATTTTCGAACTATCCATGCCAGAGGGTTGGGCCTTCCTAATTTCTTCAGGTTGTTGGTTCCGACGAAACATGTTTTGGCGCCGACCGGGTTGGGAAAAAATATCGATTGGGTCCCTTCATCTTGGTTTCCACCGCTAGTATGCGAATTGTTGGAGTCGTTGGAATTGTTGTTGCCGTTTTCTGCGGGAGGTGAGGTGTTGGTATTATTCTAGCGGGCCTGTTGGTTTGTTGATTGTCCCTGGGAACCAGAGTATTGGTTGCCATTTTTTTTCTTGTCCTGGTCCGTATGTTCTAGGACCCACTTCTTGTTTCCAGGCGTCATCTGCTTCCCACCTCAGTTCCTGTGGCTGCCATTTTTGCTTGGAGTTGTTGGTCTTGACACGGTCCCAGCCTGGGAGTTCAACTTGGCAAGCCGGCGCCGTTCTTTCTTTTCCTTTCTTCTTTTTGGGCACGGGTTTTTTTGTTGCTTCTCCTATTTCCAGAGTTGTATCCATTGTAGCATTTCTCCTTCCTTGCTTTGTTGGTCAACCTCAGCTTCCGTTCCTCCAGGGAGTAGTCTTTGTAATGGTCAAGTATGTTTCTTTGATTTATTATGCCTCCAATCACTTCTCGAATAACCCTCGACATACACAAAAAGTTTCTCTGCAGAGACTCAGGTTTAGGCCACCCCACCAAAACCTTCAATCTCAACAAACAATGTCTCAAACTTGGAATCATACCAGGAGTAGCCTCCCCTTGTTTGCTTGTTTAGCTTGAGGTGTTGGAGGTTCTCCATCCTGTTGGAGGAATTCAATTCCTTGTCACCTCTATGCTCATAGACCTCCACCATTTTCTTCCAGGCTAGGCAGCTATCCAGGGTATTCAAGTATGCATGGACCTTGGAGAAGGCATTCCCACCCTCTGTCTTCATGACTAGGATGGAGAAGAATTCCTGAACTTCAGCATCGTACCTGGCAGGACTACTTTCTTCCCTCTCCTCTTTTTCAGGTGTCCTATTCGCACGTATTCCTTTGTCATCCTTGATGGTAAGGAGATGCCCATTTCTCATCAGGGAGCAGCTACTTAGGGCAGAAAGGTGGAAGGAACTTCCAGTGGTTTTTGCTTTCCATCAATAAGCCCTTGAAGATTATAGACAATACCGCTGGCCATTCACCATTGTTTTGGTGGTGAGTGCAGAGCTTGAGAAGGAGGCTAGATGTGATTCTAGGGTCCCATCCTCATTGATGGAGGGGGGACCAGCTTTCTTGGTCTTGGGCTGTAGGAGCTCATTGCGGCTTTGGGCTTTGGGTTCATGCGCTGCTTCATCTTCTTACAGGTTTTCAGATATCTGCAGAAGCTTGCTCATTCATCACTGCCCTTGAGTCTTTCCTTGCCCGGGTCACTGTCGCTACCATCTCCAGCACCCCCTTTTTTGTCAAGCTTGAACGTGACCACCTTGGGCTTAGACCCCTTAAAGTCCTCAGTTCCAAGGTTGGATTCGGTCTCAGTTCCACCAGATTCATTCTTCTTGGTGGATCCTTTAGATGGGGGTGTGTTGTAGACATCCTTCAGATTTTCCTATAGCTCTTTCTCAGCTCTGCCCTTGCTATCCTGCAACTTCAAGAGCTCAAACTCAGCTAGGGCTGCTTTCTTGGCTTCGCTGGCCAAGTCAATCTCCACAATCCACTTGTCCTCGTACTGTTCCTCGATTTGGTCGTGTCCAAATTTCTCCTTCCAGTCTCCCAAATCGATATCCATCTTGCGAAGTCTTCCAGTGGTGGATCAGTACTTCCAAGTGTTGAGTGCTTGGGTTAGGTCATCCAGCTGTTCGAGCTCTACCGTACCCATATGCTGATATCTCTTGGCGCTACGGGAGTACTCCCTTACTTCTCCTGTTCTCACTCTCCTCCGCCAGTCTTTCTGCTTTGATCCGCTGTTCAAGGAGCCTTGTCGTGCCTCAGGAGTGTTACAACACCTCCAGTAGGCACCAAGCCAAGGACTTGACCCTTTCAGTCAGACAGGAGTGCCAACAGAGCTAGGGCGGCCAGACAAGAGCTCTCCTTAGCTGGTGCCTTTTTGTGTTGTTGTCTCAGTTCTCACTCTCTCAGCCTGAGCTTGTGTGGGGCAGCCTTCGTTATTCAATCGTGCGTTGGCAGTCTGGGAACAGTAACCCAGTTTAACGCTATCTGCTCACCTCCTACTGCTTCTCTGTCCCCTTGCCGCCAAATCGCTCAACAGGATAGGTATCAACTGCTTCGGTATCAAATGGGCTACAATCTAATCAGTATCGGTCTCAATCTTTCATACTATTTTCTTAACTATAATAGAAAGGACGATCCTTTCTTTCTGCTGCTTTGGCTTGGGATAAGCCAGCTGTGGGGGCTGGAGCTGTAGGCCAGCATAGCTGTTGGAGCTATCTCTGACGGTGTCCAGAGCTCTCGCTTCCTAAAAGAAGCCGGGGCTACATTGGTGGGCAGCTGGTTGGTGGCCAACAGGGCATTAGTCAATCGTTGCTGGATGGCAGTTGCGCCATTCCTCGCTGGACAACGTAGTAGTCCTGTTGGCGCTTGCTTCTTCTTTGGGCTGTGGGGCCTTTGGGTACCAATAGCGCTGTTACCAGTCGGCGTGTGGATGCCATCAGCCCACTTGCCTCATGGCTGACAGTGGATTGGCATTGGTCTCCCCATTAACTGATGGTGTCAAAGCATGTGTAGGTGCTGTGACAGGTTGCCTAGCAGCTACCACGAACAAGGCTTCCAGTTGAGTTGTCAGCTGGTCCTTCAACGCGACGATGAACTGAGCTTCCATATGCTTTATGTACCTTTTAATAACCACACTGCAGTATAACCATGTAATTTGTGTACAGTTGTAGCAGAATTGCTGATAATCAGGAACTGCTTACCCTTCATCTTGCTGTGTACAACTTCTCCGTCATAAAACCATCTGGTGGTGAAAGTGTAGTCTTGCTCCGTTACATAAAAAGTAAGTGGCATAATAGTCTCCAATTCATGTTCCACAAGGATAGATTTGACTTGACCTGAGAAAAAAACCCGAATCTTGCAGCCGTTGTCGAATTGAATAATCATGGGGTGCAACCATCCCTTCACATTCACACGCTTTTCTCACAAAAGCCCCAAAAATTGAGCCACGGGCACCGTTGCGTATGTCCCATTGCGTCATCCTCTCTCCATTGGTCAGTAACAGTGCTCCCATCCAAAGTACAACGACTTACTCCTGATTCAAAAACACTTACGAGGACGACACAAGCCTGGTTGCTATTCGGCAGCTTCATTATATAAACTTGCAAAGGCAAGGGCTGTCAGCGCGCGCCTTTATCAACACTGCAACGTTTTCAGCGTATCATTCAGCTAACAACAACACCCTCTGGGCACTCCTGTTCCTCTTCCAGCCAGGCAGGCAGGGCTTAGAAGGCCCCAATGATATGCTGATGGCCAGATCCTCCTTGTCAATTAGAGTTCCGAAAGAACCGAGGGAAGGGGTTTTAACGATGTCTTCAAATGAACCACATCCCACTCAACGCTTGAACCAAGAAGGGGTGGCTTTAAAAAACAGGCCCCGATATTGATATTGCTCCACATAAGGTAACAGGAACCAGTGTCCATGCTTGATTGGCCATTTGAAGATCGGAATCCATGGAGAGTGATTTCATGAGAGATCAGGGAGCATGGTACTTGATAACACTAATCCCAATTACAACACGGAAGGTCCTATGTTATCATGTTACATGCGGAAATAACGTATAGTTCTTAATTCAGCATACTATCGGTAAGCCCTTGACAGGTAATGCAGGAACAATCCCAAAGGGAGGCAATCCGAGGACGACATCTCACACATATAAGGCTCTCCCTCTCCTCGAATACAAGATGGAAGGTATGAATAGTGCACTTCAATGCACGACTTCTTGGAGTTATAATGGCATGGCTCCGACCGCATATATTCGAGTCCCCAAACCATCGATTCAGATCAGCATTTCAAGTGATT